AGTGTATGTTTATGTCAGTGTGTGTCTTTATTGTTTTTATTCTCTTATTTCCAAGGAAAGATGTGTATATTGTAGAGATTAATCCTCAAGATCATCATTATGAACCCTAAGCATGAAACAATTCTAAGAACTCTGTTGGTTAAAATTGAAAATAAGACTCAGGTCTGAGATCTTAACCATTGAAAACCTTGAAATCTCATAAATTAAGCATCATTGAGCCTGGTCCCATCTTTCATAACAGCTCTCCAGAGAAAATCTAAAAGCTAGGGCACTCTGAGAGGAGCTGTGGATGATTCAGTAGGTGGCACAATTTTCACTGAGTCAGTACTGAACTGATGCCCCAGCATGGTATGAGGGGGCACTGCACTGCTGGAGGTGTCGTCTAATGGATGAGGGTAAAACCAAGGTCTTGACCACCAGCAGTTATTAAAAATCCCATGGCACTTTTCAAAAGAGTAAAGATGATGTTAAACCCTGTGTCCTGGCTAATTTCCAAATTGGGCAATTATATTCTGCCTACTTAAAATTTCTCTGTAATTTTAGTTGGATAATATATTCCTCATCTTCTGCCCTATGCTTTTGCGATTTCCAGCTTAGAGGTGGATGCATTTCTGTGGTGAGGGAAGTGATGCTTCTTTGAAAAATGTCTTACAAGGTCTGAGATCAGGAGATGAAAGGTGTAACATCCATCTATCAGAATAGGTGCCATATTAGTTTGTTTTTCCTGTGATTAGGCTGACTATAAGAAAATTACCAAATAAGTGTCTTTAAAAATAGCCTCGTCAGGTAGTTAGAGGTGCTATGCTTGCAAAGGTTTCCAAGATGGAGATTTTAATTTTATTAAGTTGTGACTAAGAAATGAGGCTTCTCTTGAAGTGAATATATTATGTAAATACTAACTATTTAAGCATGAAATTATAGACATTTGATAGAAATAATTAAATTTTCCAACATTTGCCTAGCAAAGCCTATCACATTCACTCAAAAACATTAGTCGCTAAATCATTTTCACTTATAATGTATTAGAATTCTTTCCAAATCAATCATTGCTAAGAGAGAAGGTCACTATCAGGGAACAGATGGAAAGTGTTTCTTAAATACTAATAATAAAATAATTGTTGGTTAGCCTGGTCTGGATTCGAGGAAATCTTACAGAAAACATCCCTAAGGAAAAGACTAATGGTGAGGCTGTGGAAGGCTAGACCCACGCTTTGTATTTCCAGCTTCACTCTATACTTTGGGATCAACACATAGAAAAAAATATCCAGTAGAAATTTAGTGCCGTAGATGATGACATTTGCATTTATCTTGGCTATTTAAATGGTTAGCTAGAAAATGATAAAAACCATCAACAACTCAGTTTTCTCAAGTGCCAAGTATTTATCTGCAAAAACAAAACATCAATCTAATCTTCTTGTAGAGAGTCTTACTGTGACTTTCATATATTACCTTTCTTTGTACAGAATCTTTCCAAGGAGTTTTAAAGTGCTGTAACCTCAAAGGTTTCTATTTCTAACAATTAATTAATTTAGCTGTATTACAGACTTTTCTAACTTCAAGTCATTCTGCCTTACAGATATATTAAAAACTTATCTTGTGCTTATTAATAATAGAGTTAATACAAGAGAATGCTTTGCAGCAAAAGAAAAATCCAGCAGCATGCAGAGATAGTATTAAATACTGTGGTAAATAAACATAGTCATTCTGTGTGTAAATGCTATAGCTATTGAATAAAGAAACCACTTGAAAAGGAAATACCATCTTTAGAATTTGGACTTGCCTTTAGCAGAAAACACTGTAATGTTTTTAGCCTAGCTCTGCCAACTACAACAGACTGTACTAACAGAAGAGTTCACTTTGTAATAGAAGAAGTAGTCACTCTGATCACTTTGTCTTTTTAGTATGCAGCCCAGAGGATTCAGAAAAAGATTACATTTACCATAATTAACATATATGTAAATGGAGATCATGGCTATGAATGATAAATTTTCATAGCAATTTAAACCTTGTACAAATTAATCAACCATACAGACACTTGATTAATGAAAGGCAGTGTCACTTTAAAATGCAACATGTTAATATATATTACTGTTATCACAGATCAAAGAATCTTTAAATGTAAACCAATTAGAACAAAGCTCAATCTACATTTTTTAACAAATTTAATTCCCATGTAATTATGATGGCAATTTGGAAAAAAACTGCTATCCTGCTTCATATTTATTTACTAATTTTAGTGAAACGTCATGCAAATGAATTTTGGATGTTCTATCATAACGATTGGATTCCCAAAATATAGGATTACAGTACCATTGAAGGATCAGATGAATGTACTAAAGCAATTACAAATTAGATACAAGATATTTATACACATGTCATGTTCAATTTAGAAGTTTTCTTCTAGTTTCCCCCTTTTTGGTCTCACTGAGAGAGTTACATTAAACAGATTAAGTGCTAAATGACTGATATTCGCTCAATACAGTGTTTGAGATGAGATTTAACATGCCACTAAACTAAGAGCTATTTTCCTTGGTCTTTGAGGAATAAAAAAGTAAAAACTCTTTTGTAGATTTACTTTATTAAGAATGACTTTTATTATCATAGTGAAAATTAATGCCTAATTTATAGAAAAAGTCTTTTTAGAAGAAATATAAAATGTATAGTTAATACATAAGTGTGTGTTCACAATATAAGACCTGGGATATAAATTTTTTCTATTATCTTGTTTGCAAGCAGAAGGTAGGCATAAAAGCAAACACTCTACAGAGTCAACGTATGTCTACGCAGATCTATTTTACAAGGGTAACCCTATAATGGCTCATTAATTATCATTCTCAAGTTGGCAGTCTGAGCTGTTGCCACATTATAGCAGTGTAGCCCAGCACATCACTGAATATACTGTTGAGAAAGAATTGATAAAATAACATGAAAGAAAGCAGCCTGTAATGGACAGAAAGTTGAAATAAATGTGACACTGAGTTCTAAAAACCATCGAGCATTTTCTATGTGGCATATGCCATGTTAAAAACTTGGCACTTTTAAAAGATGGTGCAACTATTTGTGACAAGTATTAAATTATTTAATTCTGATAACACCTCTATAAAATAGAATTATTAGTTCACAGAGAGAGTAGTCAAGCTGAACTTTTGATTTTAGGGCTTCTCATTTCAAAGTTTGCGTTCTTGGGCTCCCTTGGTGTTTCAGTCAGTTAAGAGTCTGACTTTGGCTCAGGTCATGATCTCACAGTTCACGGGTTCGAGCTCCACGTCGGGCTCTGTGCTGACAGCTCAGAGCCTGGAGCCTATTTCAGATTCTGTGTCTCCCTCTCTCTTTGCCCCTTCCCGGCTTGTGCTCTCTCTCTCTCTCTCTCTCTCTCGATCTCAAAAATAAACATTAACAATTTTTTTAAATTCACAGTTTGTATTCTTAAATACTATGCCACATTGCCTCCCCATGACTATATAACTTTGTTTATCATCACCATTATATTTAGCCACTTGAGCAATCTCACTAAAGCTATAATGCGGCTAATGCCGATATGGGACACTACTTTGGGAACCACTGCTAACATACTACACATTCTTTAAAAGGTTTAAATAGCACCATAGTATATAGTATATATACCATAGTATCATAAGTTAGGTCCAACTCAGGCTATTGGAATTATAATAAAACCTGCCTTTAAGCCATCTGTCCTGGAGTAGATATGTGAGCAAAATAGATGCATAGATAGATAAAATATTAGCAAGCATATCTAGTCATTAAATGAGCATTTAATACTTGGCAAGGATCTGTACAAAGTACTAGAATTAGCATAGTAAATAAGACTCCTGTCCCCAAGGAGTATATTGTGTAATGAAGCGGGCAGAAATGTAAACTGCCAATTATACTACATTGTGATAAGTACTACTTGAAGAGTAAATTATGATGTCGTGGGAGTGCAAAAGAGTGCCCTCAAGGACAATAAACAAACAACAAACAAGCAAACGCTAAACTAAATTTAAGCCATTTCATACAGTATGATATATCTGGGAAATTTTGGAAAGTCTCTGCTTCAGTGTTCTAGTTATTAAAGGAGTGGCTTCAAGAAAAAAACACAGGCAAACCAAGAATTGCAGGGATCATAGACACTACCCACTTGCAGATGATGCAGTCTTTCCATGAATATTAAAGAAAGGAATGCTGGGGCGCCTGGGTGGCTCAGTCGATTAAGCGTCCAACTTTGTCTCAGGTCATGATCTCATGGTTTGTGGGTTTGAGCCCCGCATCGGGCTCTGTACTGACAGCTAGCTCAGAACCTGGAGGCTGCTTCAGATTCTGTGTCTCCCTTTCTCTCTGACCCTCCCCTGCTCATGCTGTCTCTCTCTCTCAGAAATAAAAACATTTAAAAAATTAAAAAAAAAAAGAAAGGAATGCTGATCATTATATTAGTTAAAATAACAGAACAGGATAGTAGTTTAAACTGTCTTATTTCTCTCTCATATTCATTAATTCAAGATTGAAGGAGTCGGGTGCTGCTATAGCTGCCCCATGAAGTCATAACGGATGCAGGCTCCTTTCCTCCAGCACAATACTTCACCACTCCTAGAATGTGGTCCTTGTTCTCAGGGTCCAAGGTGGCTGTTAGAATCTAGCTTTCACATCTATCTTCCAGGCAAAAAGATGAAAGAATAAAGGAAAAAAAAAGGCTCAACCCTCTTTTGTTTTTAAGGAGAGTCTCCTGATATACCGCTGCGCACTTTCCCTTACAGCTTACTGGCCAGAACTAAATCAGATGGCTATAAGGTCAGTGGCAAATGAGGCTGAGAAATGTAGTCATTTCGATGGGTGACCAATGTACTCACCTAAAACGTGAGATTCTGTTAAGAAAGAATAATGAGAAGTAGATATTAGGAAGCAACTTGTAGTCTCTGTCACAGCCATGAATTAGTTTTCTTAGCTCACAGAGGTGGTAATCACTATCAGTAGAGAAAAATAATATTTTATTTTTTCTGTCTCAGCCTTCCTGATGATTCTCATTCCTTTTGAGCAGAATGAAATCTTTGCCACACCATCTATCTTGAAGGTAGGACCTGTTCCCTGCTTTATGAGTCCAAGATATAATCGGTAGACATAAGATATCTTTTCATTATAAATTAAGAGTCTTGTATATGTGTGGAAAAGAGCATCCTTAAGATTTAAAAAACTTAATGTTTTCTTTTCATGACTCTTGAATGTCAGATTACTGAAGTTGTAATAGTACAGCTATGAAAGATTTGATAATTGAATGCTTTTATGATTCATTCGTATGTCTTGTTCATTCTACAAATACAAGGTAAGTGGCTCCTGTGTGCCAAGCTCTGATCTAAGTGCTGAGGACATAGAAATGAGTGATTCGGTTGAGGTGTGTCATAGAGCTTACATTCTAATGAGAGAGGAAAGACAATAAACACATATATGTATGTGAGCATTATAATTTCATATATTTTTACATACTGTTATGTTAAATTGTGTCCTACCAAACTTCACAAGCCTAACCCCAGTACCTCCGAATGTGTTTGTATTTGGAGACACAGCCTTTAAAGAGGTGATTAACATGGGACCCTTTGGGTGGGATGTAATTCAACCTGACGAGGGCCCTTATGAAAAGAGGAGATTGGGACACACAGACTGATAATTCTGTGTGCAGAGGGGAACTACTGTAAGGGGCAGCAAGAGGGTGACCACCTGCAAGTCAAGGAGGAGAGAGACCTTAGAGGAAACCAGTCCTGCCAGAACCTTGATGTTGGACTTGCGGTCTCTAGAGCTGTGAGAAAATGAATTTCTAGTGCTTGACCCACTGAGTCTATTATATTTTGTTATGGCAGCCCTAGCAAACTAATATAGGTACTAAAATGCAAATAAAATAGTAACTGGGAGACTGCTTAGAGTGGTGGTCAAAGAAAGCAGCTTTTTAGCTGAAACCCGAGTGATGCAAAGGAGTCAACCACATAAATATTTGGGTATGTATGTTCCTAGAAGAAGAAACATCTAATGCAAGGACTCATTTTTTTTTTTTGTACAAGAAATAAGCTAAAAGTAAATCAAGCAAGTGATCATTTTCATCATCAAAAAATTGTTTACTCAGTGTCTATTTGTTGCTGTGGAAGGCATTATAGAGATAAATATAAAGTGATAGTGCAGCCCATTAATAATGCCATAATAATTATTTCACTGTGAATTATGCTGTAAATATGCTTGCAACTGACTATCCAGTATCAAAATGACTTTACAGTTTCAGTTCCAAATTTAACAGATGTGCTAGCCAGTGGCCAAATTCTCATTTTGTTCTCCAACCACTAATACACTAATCTTACACGAATTCTCTTTGACTATAGAAAGGAGCTCTTTTGGGTATGACAGAAACATAAAATTAGAGCATGGTTCTCGTTCAGACTGTCTTTTTAAATGAGCTTTGTACAGAATAGCCATTTGATACTTGAGAACATAAGATATAAGTGACTTCATCTTTTCCCAAAAATGCAAGTGAAAAACGATCATTGTTCTTGTGTTCTTTTTTGCCACGTATTATCAACTTGAATTTTATATCATGACTTTTTAAAAGTCTATTTGTTATGTAAAATAATCTCTCTCAGTTCTTACTACCATTTTTTTGTTACTATTGCTTCCACTCAAATCTGAAAATTCTTCACAATATAAGACAATGCTTTATTGGAATTGGCAAGCCTCTTATTTTATGGTGACAGACTTGAGCAAAAGAAAGGGAGCTGCATTTTCATCAGTAATAATGTAAACAAACCTGTAGGAAGGAATAAGAACAGTCACAATGAAATGCATTTGTTAACAGGAGAAAAAAGTTGCAAGAACCAAATGCAGTGTACCTGAATATGCCCAACTCGCCACTAAATTCCTGATGGGTAAAAACAGACCTATTTGAGATGACTTGGCCACAGTTTTTATTTTTTACAGTTGAGAGCAATTTTGTGCATATAACATATAAGCTAGAAAATCATATATATATTATATATATATAATATATATAACATTTTCATTATATTACATGTTTTTATATGTTTTCCCTCATTTTCCTCTTATGTGCAAGGGAACATTTCTAACTTATACTTCACATTAAAAAAAATTAGAATAACAACTCTAAGCAGCATTGGCTCAATTTAAATCCCATTTGGTGGTCCCAGTATAGTTTTTATATCACACAAAAAAAGCCATCATAATTTGCATCCTATCAACTATTCCCTTCACTCTAAAGAGCTATCATTGCCACTCCTAGAGTGGGTCTCTAGGGTTGAAGTCTGTTCTTTCACTCCTATGCTAGATCTATTTGGTAGTAAAATCAGGGTTACTAGCCTGGTGCCCCTTACCTGGAAAAAAAAAAAAAAAACCCACAACAATTCTATATTAACCCTGTCTTCACTCTTCTCAGAAAATTGATAATAAAAGTTGTCCTTTTACTCTCTGCTCCTTTTAATTCCTGGCATTCCAGAACTTGTTAGACTTGCCTTTCCAGCTTTCTTGGCAATGCTAGAGCTCGCTGCTGTTCTAGTATTCTAAATCTTCTGCAATGTATCTGCTTCATGCAGTTCCTGTCTTTCTAGTGATGGGGGTCTGTTTTGCTAATATTTTTCAAATTACCAACACAGTATCACTCAGCACATTCCTAGAAATTTCATCGCTCTCCATTTCTGTTTTTTCTGTCTTCCCTTTTCCTCTTTCTTCTTTACTACTTTAGCTACCCACCTATTTCACCTGTAAATGGACTCGTGGACTCTTAACAACTTCTCTGTTTTGTTTTGTTTTTGTTTTTAATTCTGTTCTAAGGTGTTTCTGTACCTATAACTTGCATCACAGTAGTTTTATTAATTTAACCAAAAATTATGCTGGAAAGCATAACCTTTGCAAAATATCAACTACACCAGTGAATTAGAGAAGTTTTATGGGATCAAGACTGAGTTATTTAATAATATTGAGCAGCTGGTAGCCATTATTTTTAGTTCTGTCTCCTCAGTATCTATTCACAAGCCATTAAATTCACTTTTAAATTCTAAAAAAGTACTGACCTGAAAATTAGAATACTTATTTATAATATGTCCATAAGATCCTAACCATCTACATGGGATGAATTACAGGCGTATTAAATCCATACTTGTTAGCTAATTTGTTTAAGTTTATGTATTTATTTTGAGAGAGAGAGAGAGCATCCCTGTGAGCTCATGCAAGTGGGGGGGCGGGGCAGAGAAAGTAGGAGAGAGAGAATCCCAAACAGGCTCCACACTGTCAGTGCAGAGCCTGATGCAGGGCTCGACCCCATGAACGCTGAGATTGTGACCTGAGCTGAGATCAAGAGTTGGACCCTTCACCAACTGAGTCACCCAGGTACCCCTGTTAGCTAATTTTTTATGACATCTAGAAAACATTCTATCTTATACTGATAGAAACCAGTAGCATCTGTTGCCTGGATATTCCACTTGAAGATCCATCAGCTGATAGAGTTTTTCTCTGTCTTACAGCTCTGCCATTGAAACAGCTCTTAATGAAGGAAGTTTCCCAACCAAAATATAGATATATCCTATGGAGGGGAATACTTTGAACCACACTGACAGTAACCTCTCAGCCCTCTAGGAGAAGATTTTTAAAAGATGTGTATTTTTTTTACTGTTTTTTATTTTTATTTATTATTTATTTATTTTTAAATAGTTTATTTATGAGAGAGAGAGACAGCATGAACAGGGGAGGATCAGAGAGAGAGGGAGACACAGAATCTGAAATAGCCTCCAGGTTCTGAGCTAGCTGTCAGCACAGAGCCTGATGCAGGGCTGGAACCCACGAACCATGAGATCATGACCTGAGCCGAGGTTGGACACTTAACCGACTGAGCCACCCAGGCGCCCCATTTTTTTTTTTTTTACTGTTTTTTAAAGTTTGTTTATTTTGAGAGAGGGAGCAAGAGAGAGTGGGGGAGGGGCAAAGAGAGGAAGAGACAGAATCCCAAGCAGACTGTACTGATGTGGGTCTTGAATTCATGAACTATGAGGTCATGACCTGAGGAGTTCAAAAGTTGGACTCCTGACTAGCTGAGCCACCCAAGTGTCCCTTAAACAATGCATTTTTAATGTATATTTACAAGTGGAACACTCTCTCCAGAAACTGTGATGGTCAAAATTTGAAATACATGTGTAGATTTCCTGACATTAATCTTTTTCTACATATAGAATGATAGTAAGGTCACCTATGATCCAGACTTGACTTGTCCAATATGGTTACGTTTAAAAACAAAGGGAGACATCTAAAACCCTTGTATAGCAACCTTTGTTATGGACCAAGGAAACCTAGAAGTCTGTGTTAGCACTTTAGGGTGAATATAGCGAAAGATACCATATTAAGACTCTTATCAATTTACACTGAATGGTTTAACACTGTATATGCAGGTATAGGCATGAATTTTTCTATAAATAGCAATGCTTCGTTATTAATAGAGAGGTTTTCCAATGAACATTGCATTTAATAAAAATTTATTTTTTCATTTGGCATCTGTCCCCTTAAGGATCTAGCAGAAAGCACGCCTAATTCTAATGCAGAAGTTTAAGTTCTGACTGTTAAAGCAGTTTGGCAAATGAGTCTCTTAAATGGTCTATCACTTCAAAATATCTATAAAACTCACATAAACTATACATTCCTTGCTTATATTAATATTTAATATTCTGGAACCAGTTCATACATTTTTATTTGTTTTTGAGAAATACTATAACTTATTAAGTTATACACTTTGAGAAATACTATAACTTATTAAGATTCTCAACTGTGAGAGAGGTGATATACCACTAAATCATCTGTAATTACTTAGGACTTGATTGTTACCATTTCTGACAACTTGCACCAAAACTGGCATGCCTGTGTGCCTATGCATTAGAGCCGGTTTCAATTGCTTGAAGAATCAGAGTCAGTCTAGTAACTCTGACAATGGACTAATATTCAGCCACAAGAAAGAAGAAAATCTTATCTTTTATGACAACATGGATGGACTTTCAGGGATTATGTTAAATGAAATGAGTCAAACAGAGGCAAATATGA